GTCCAGTCTGTATACATTGTATGTTCGGTCCAGTCTGTGTACATTGTATGTTCGGTCCAGTCTGTATACATTGTATGTTCGGTCCAGTCTGTGTACATTGTATGTTCGGTCCAGTCTGTGTACATTGTATGTTCGGTCCAGTCTGTATACATTGTATGTTCGGTCCAGTCTACATACATGTTTGATCGTTTGGCTCACACGTCCTTCATGTGGATAGGAGACATTCTGTGAACACAGCTGACCTCTGACCTTTCGAGCTGCAACGTTCCTGTGACACAGACTTCAGAATGACCGGATCCCGGGAATAGATTCGGAGCCATTTCCCGGTATTTCCTGTCTGGTCACCCTGAATCCCCGGGGCCCTCTTATTAAACTCCAGAACTGCACGGTCTTTGGATGGGGAGATTTATACTGGCCCCTGGGAGCCCCAGCACACTCAGCAACATCTAGGGGGCCAACAATGAAATCTGATGGAACAGGCTGGGAGTTGTAGTTCATCAGAAGGCAGAGGGCCACAAGCTGTCACGTGTTGAGTTGGGGACAGTATAGTTTTGGATGGAGAGGAGAGTCCAGAGCTCTCCCATGCAGTGCTCCCGGATCCACCACCAGATGACCAGCATCATTCAACCCACTTCCTATGAGCCCAGGGCATCCTGGACCCCCAGCCTGTGACTGGACAGTGAAAGGAGAAGCAGCACATGAGTGTTGAGCTCATCTCTCTGCCCTCTCCTCCTATCAGTATGCTTATTGCCAGCACATGAACTGTTTGGCTCATTCTTCCTCTCAGACTCCAGTCAATCCCGGTGTAATTTCTCACTAATACCTGTGTGAAAAGCCTCAGATGGAAGCACTTTGTGACTCTCTGCCCCAGTCTGGATATCAGGGAACAGCTTCCTGCTTTGTGACGGGTCCCCTTAAAATGTCTGATTTTGGCTCCTTAAAATAGCCGGCTGTACCTCCAGAGCTGTTGGTTGATCTCCCCTTCCAGCAAGCATTGGCATCATGGGATTTGAAGGTTCCCTACAGAGCTGCAGCCTGTTCCTGTTACATTATTATTATACAGGATTTATATAGCGCCAACAGTTTGCGCAGCGCTTTACAATATAAGGAAGACATTACAATTACGATACAAATGAAGACAAGACGGTAAGGTAACATTAGTGCTTACCTGTTTGGCTCTGCAGCATTACAAGGCATCATCTTCTCCCCAGGTAAAGCCCCGTCACAGGTGAGACAACCACTCCCAGGTAGCCCTGAGCAAAGTTCAGCCGCTCTCCCTCCAGTATCGGTTAGGTTTGCTTCCACCTCGATAGCAGAGCTGTGTAAAGAGGACCTTCCCTGGAGCCCGAGTGACATCAGCCTGTTGTCACCGATAAAACACATTACACTGATTTCCATAGACAGCTCCTAGCCCCCCCCCCCCCCCCTGGGGGGGGGCGTAGGCGCGG